ATGATGGACAAGTTCTGGGCCATGGCCATTTGTTAGAAAAACAAAGTAAAAGCTTAAGGCCTGCCATATTTCAGTGGTCAGAGACCTGGCAGAGAAATCTCTTTTTGAGACCTGGACACCAAGAAGGCAGAATTTCTAAACCACAAAGACCCTTAGAGAAACCAGAGACAAAGACAAAACTAACACAGTTACTGAAGCTCTCCCTATCTAGGGAAAAGACAAGAAAAGGACAAAAATTGTGGACTAAGTATCATGCAAAGTGAGAAATCAAGAGCCAATAGAAGAGAGAAGAAGAATTCCTGCAGAGAACTGGTAAGCCAAGGGACAGGAATTCCTTTGTCTGCTAAAATGTAAAAATAGTTAAAAGCTTTGAGAACTGATGTACAGGTGTTAGAGAGCAATTCCTGTGTCCCTTCAGCGCTGAATGAAGTAGGGTCACCTCTGGAACCCAACCAACTGCTCAGAGATTTTATTCCCCGGCTTTCACTGACAGTTTCTGGGGACCCAGATGAGACAAAGCAGCGCCGACAGGGCAGAGCAGAGGAATCGTTGGCCCTGCAGCGTGTACCAAAGGAGTTTTGGGGAGATCTTCCAGTTCCCTGGTCTGGAGAGTTCACCACGCCTTCTTTTCTGGGAAAAAGAACAGGCCATGAATTTTGGGGACTTGGTTTTAAGGCCTTTTGCCTGCACATGAGGCACAGCAATGGGAAGGACGCAGCGTGAGGCTGAGAGGTTTCTGTCATAGTTTGTGGGCTTGGGTGAGATTGGGCCAGAATTACAGGACACCTGTAAAATCTGGGCTTTGGGAAAGGTTGGGGAGGGTTGGGAAAGGTGTTCAAAGGGTGGTTTTGCCTGAGGTGTTAAACATGGGAGTGGGTCTATCTTCCCAATTTGATGCCAGATTTATGCCCCAAAGAAGGCCCAGAGGAACTACTCATAGACAGAGTTTTTAGTCTATAAGCAGGAGGTATTTATTTTCCACGGCCGGGAAGCGGCCAGGTCGCCCTGGACAAACCGCTTCAATGAGGAACTTACAATTTGAGCTTTTATCCACTTTTTGCTAAGCAATTACATCACATATTATGAATATTCATTACATTGCAACATCTACTTTTAATATTCATAACAGAAGGAGTTGAGGCGGAGTTAGAGGCGTGGTCTTCAATTTGGGGAGAACTTCGGTGGTAGTTCCTGTCTTCCTTCATCATGAACCCAATGTCCTTTCATCATCCTCCTCATAAACTTTTGAACCTTCCCTAATTTGGGTAGTTTCCTTGTGTATTTGGCAGGGATTTCCAATGTCTGGCAGAAGTTCCTGGTTTCTTGGCTTGTCTCTTTTCTTATCTGCCTTTGTTTTCTTCCATATGTCCTTTTTTGTGTGTGCTAGCATTTCTAGTTCTCCCCGTTCATGCCCATGTTCTTTCATGTCAGAGTGTCCTGTATTCTAGTGAATTTATTGCCTCCGCTATTTCTTAATACTAAGTTCTCTATGCCTTTGCTTAAGGCTGCATTTGGTGTTTAACTCTCTAATTCTTGTACTGCTCTATTAAATTCGCTTTCCAGGTTTTACCTGGCTTCAAATTCCCAAGAGAAGAGATCCCAGAAAGCTCCCCTGCAGGTTGTGTTTTAGGGAACAGGAGAAGAGACCGAGGGTAAGGGGTTTCTTTCCTGGAGGGCAGGGCTGTCGTTCACTTGCAGGAGCCCTGTGCTGAAATTGCCAGTCTCACTCCCCAAATTGAATACGGACAAAGATTCCTGCCAGACAAAAGGTGCCAGGACAGAAAGCTCTTGCTGCCCATGGAGTTCCCAGGGTGGCCCCACAACTGCATCTGAAACCCAAAGGTTCCAGGCTTTCTTTCCTGGGGGAAAGGCCGTGACATAACAAAGAGTCCCGTGGCAGACAGGTGGGGCTGCACTGTGGGGGTGTGAGGTGTTGGTTCTTTGGTTTCCAGGGCCCATTCTGGAATGGAGAGGACAGGCTGTGACACCACAAAGGAGCCCTTGGCACACGGATGGGGTTGAACTGTCACATGGTGGGGGCTTGGTTCTTTGGTTTCCAGAGGCCATTCCAGAATGGAGAGGATAGGCCAGAATGGACAGAACAACAAAAGGCCCAAAGCACATGGGTTGGTCTGCACTGTGGTGTGGGGTGTTGGTTCTTTGGTTGCCAGGGCCTATTCTGGAATGGAGAGGACAGGCTCTGACAAGAAGTGCCTGTCAGAACTGCAAAGACGGACGCACAAGAATCTTATGTGGGCATATTCTCTGCTCTGCCCTGCACACCTTTGTGCTGGGGTCAAAACTCAGCCTCTCTGCTTCCCTCTCCTGAGGGACTTGTTCTTAGACATCCCTTTCCCCTGCGCTCCTTTCAAAAGCCCTCCTGGCAATTCCCAAGCCTGTACCCGGCTCTCATCCCCTCTCTGGCTCATGGTCCTCGACTTATCTTTCCGAGAACTGGGCCTGTCAACCCATCATTCCTTTGGCTGGCTGTATTGGGAGGGGTTCGGATCATACTGAAGCTGAAACCACGACACTGTTGAACGCTCAACAAAACCAATATTTATTACCAAGAGGTGGCCAACAAAACGAACAAACCCAAAGGAGAGGAAGGAAGAGAGAAACAAGCCCCCAGCATGACCTCCCCCAGTTACCCAGCTGTTGCCCATAAAGTTCTCTCACTGACCTAGCATGCCTGTAATTACCCAGAGCAGAAGCCGCATCCTTGGAAAGTCAGTAAGTGGCTTTCCCTGCGCCTGCATACTGCGCTGGGGGGGTCTTTTCCAAATGAGTCTGGGGGCGTCCTTCATCATTATAGTCTTCATTTTCTCCTTCAAGTGACCTTGGAGGACAATTAGCCAATCACAGAACACCAATTAAATATAGTTTATACCAAAACTCCCTTCAAGGACAAAGTTCCCGTTTTATCAGTGCTTGTTTTCTCATAACTTTGCAGGGAAAGAACAAACCTGTTGCAGGTGGCTGGGCCAAACACAGACCAAAGTATCAGCGGAATTAACCCCTGATACATCCCACCACGTGGTCTGTGGTTGGACCATGACACTGGTGAATGACTCAAACAGCATACTGATGAAGTGTCATCTCCAAAAATGTAAAACAACATAACAACTGAGTAACAGCAAAAGTACAGACAATAATATAATCATGTCCCTCCCCAGTGAGGAGATCCAAGTGGGTTACAGTGGTCATTTACTTGGAGTCAACAGTACTTGAGATAATCTTTTCCCAGTTGGCAGACCTAGTTCCCAGGTTTGGACAGGTGAACAGGTGTGTCCAATCTTATGGGCCCGGACAACGCAATGAATCTCAGGAATTTCTGCAAAATATAAAGTCTAGTACAACAGAACTTCTCATTTCAGAAATTTTATAATTTGGATTCATCTTTTATAGTATGAAGTGGTTGACTGCCAGTCACAAATTTATGGGCCTGTTAGGAGCCATCACAGGCAATGTATATCTGGAGTTTGATGCAACACCAGACAACATCCTGGTCTCACCAACCCTCCCACAGAAAACTTGCACTCTCTGTACAGATTCCAGGCCTCATCGGGAGCAAACCGTCCTGCCCCAGTTTACCCCTGACTGCAGTCAATCCCCTCCACCTCATGGAGTGATAGCACAGGTTATCTCTTGCCTCCATGCTATAAAAGAATTTTTTATCCATCTTCACATTAACTATACCATTGAGTGTGAAACCATTTCTGTGCTTAAATAGGATGTTACCAGTTCATCACAAGAAAATTGCAGGCATGATGCGAGCCAGAGCCCATAGGGAGGTCCACAAAGGGCCCTGTCACAGCAGTGACATCATTGGGGACACAGGTGACAGCCCTGGGGACAGCGGTGACATCACAGACACAGCGGTGACATCAAAGGGATGTCGGTGACATCACAGGGACAGCAGTGACATCACAGAGACAGCAGTGACATAATAGAGACAGTGGTGACATCACAGGGACAGCGGTGACATCACAGAGACATTGGTGACATCACAGACACAGCAGTGACGTCACATGGAGATCGGTGACGTCACAGAGACAGCAGTGACATCACACAGACATCGGTGGCATCAAAGGCACAGCAGTGACATCACAGGGAGACCGATGACATCACAGGCACAGCGGTAATTCACAGGGACAGCAGTGTCATTACAGGGACAGCAGTGACATCACAGAGACATTGATGACATCACAGACACAGCGGTGACCTCACAGGGACAGCATTGACATCAGAGAGACAGCGGTGACCTCACAGAGAAAGCAGTGACATCACAGGGACATCGGTGACATCACAAGGACAGCCGTTACATCACAGAAAAAGCGGTGACATCACAGGCACAGCGGTGATATTAAAGGGACAGTGGTGACATCACATAGACAGCGGTGACATCACAGAGACAGCGGTGACATCACAGAGACAGCGGTGACATCAGAGGGACAGTGGTGGCATCACAGGCACAGCGGTGACATCACAGGGACAGCGGTGACATCACACAGAAATTGATGACATCACGGGGACATTGGTGACATTACAGGCAGAGCGGTGACATCACAGGGACAGCGGTGACATCACAGGGACAGCGGTGACATCACAGAGACAGCAATGACATCACAGGCACAGCAGTGACATCAAAGGGACAGCAGTGACATCACACAGACAGCGGTGACATCACAGAGACAATGATGACATCACAGGGACATTGATGACATCACAGAGAAAGTGGTGATATCCCAGGGACATCGGTGACATCACAATGACATTGGTGACATCACAGAGAAAGTGGTGACATCAAAGGGACAGTTGTGACATCACAGGCACAGCGGTGACATCACAGGGACAGTGCTGATATATTGGGGAGCGGTTATTGTATCAGGGAAGGTCCGAGATATACAGACACGAAATAAAGACACCGTTGCTAGCTCAACAAAAAAATAAAACAATATTTATTACAAAAGGTGGCCAAGAAAATGAACAAACCCAAAAGAGAGGAAGGAGGAGAGAAATAAGCCCCCAGCATGACTTTCTCAGTCACCCAGCTGTTGCCCATAAAGTTCTCTTACCGACCTGGCATACCTATAATTACCCAGAGCAGAAGCTGCATCCTCGGAGAGTCAGTAAGTTCACAAACTGGCAGGTGTTCCCGCCAAAGGAAACGTTGTCCTTGAAGTAAAGCCTAACCTGCAGCCAAGAAAGCACTGTCTACTTTTATACAATTAATTGAGTTACTACCACCTCCCAGGTGTGGCCAGCACCGCCCAGCCCGAGGCCCTCAGTCCCACCCCTGGTTATGTCAGTGCATCTCTTCTGCACACGCGTGAGAACTTGGGAAATCCCCTCACGCACGTGCAGTGTGTTTTGGGGGTCTTTCTTAATTGAGTCTGGGGTCGAGCCTTCCTCATCCTCCTCCTCAAACTCTCCTTCAAGCGACCTTGGAGGACATCTGGCCAATCACAGAATGCCAATTACAACAGTTTATACAAGAAGCTCTCTTCAAGGACAACTTTCCTGTTTATCAGGGCTTGTTTTCCCATAACTTGGCAGGGAAAGAGCAAAGCTTTCTCAGGTGGCAGGGCAAAACACAGACCAAAAGTATCAGCATAAATTCACCCTGGTACAGGGGGTCAAACCTGTCCCATGAAGTCCGAGCAGGTCCGGGCTGGGGGCAGAACAGGGCGCAGGAAACGAAGGCAAACGGGAACCAGCAAACAGCCAGATGAGCAGGCCGAGAACAAAAGGACCTCGGAGCCTCTCCAACACACCCCTTGCCTGAGTTAAGGCCAAAGGGAAGGGCCTTGCCCTTTGCCCAGGAGAAAGCAAAAAACTCCACCCCCCCAGAGCCTTCTGAGGGCTCCCAACCTGCAATGTGGGCTGGGCCAGTTCTTTTGTGGGTGTGAGTCACCCAAGGCAAAGCCCCCTCCCCCATTCAACATCTTTCTTTTCCAGTGGGGCAGGGGAAAGAAAAATTCCTGCTTGGTTTTTTAGAAGAAGTAAAGCTGTGACAGGGATCCCCTCCCCCCTGCCCTCACTGCCCCCCAGTAACAGGGACTGGGGAGAACTGGGAAGCTTTACTGGGAACACTGGGAGCAGCCGGCTGGGGTCAGAATAAAAGCAGGGCTGGGGGGGACACACGACCCCCCAAACTCAGTGTGGGGATGGACTGGGGGGTCCCGGCTGGGCCCGAGGCCACGGGGAGGGGCTGCGGCCGCCGGTGGCTCAGGAGCTCTGTGGGGAGAGAAAAGGGGGTGAGAGCAGGGTGGGGGGGCAGGGGGGGCACAGAGGCTGTGGGCAAGGGGGGGAAAAAACCCCCGGGGACCCCCCTTTACCTTCTCCCACAGGTAGAAGGCGAGCCCCAGCGCCAGGAAGACCAAGCCCAAGACGAAGCCCCCGACCCCCACCAGGATCTTGCTGCGGACGGTGTCCGGTGGCATCTCTGGGGGGAGCCGGGGGGGTCAGCACCCCCAAAACCTCCCACACACAACCCGGCACCCCACAAATGCCGTCCCGCTCTCCCCCAGCCCACCCAGCACCCCATGAAACCTCCTGCCAGTCCCTTCCCAGCCCCTCTGCGATCCACCAAGCCCCTCTCAACCCCTTTAGGACTCTCCAACCCCCCTCCCATCACCCCCAGCACCCACCAAACTCCCTCCCAGTTGCCCCCAGTTGCCCCCTTTCCCCCCTGCCCCCCCTGCCAGTGTGCCCCCGGTGCTGGGGGGGCCGGGCCGTACCCCAGTGCCGGCTGAGGGGGTGCTCCAGGCTGACGTGCTCCACCTGGCAGCTGTAGGTGACCCCGCGCCGGGGGGGGATTTCCAGCATCACCAACACCTGGTAGGTCCAATCCCCGTTGGGGACCACGTCGGTGGCCACCACGTGCTCCGGCAGCTCCTGCCCATCCTGGAACCACCTCACCTGCACCGGCGCAGGGTAGAAATCCATCACGGAGCAGAGCAGGCGGCCGGGGCCGGGCTGGGAGCTCGACGGCACCAGCGAGATGGACACGCTGGGGGGCACTGGGAGGGACGGGGGAGACACTGAGCTGAGCTGGGGGGCACTGGGAGGGAGGGGAGAGGACTTGTAGGACATTGGTAGGGATTGGGATGTCACTGGGAGGGACTGGGATGGCACTGGGAGGGACTGGGAATAGAGTGGGGTAGAAGGGGATGGGCTGGGGGGGCACTGGGGAGAGAGTTGGGAGATGTGGGAGTGAAGTGGGAACGACTGGGAATGGAGTGAGAGGGACTGGTCTGGACTGGTCTGGACTGGGAAGGAAGCGATGGGGACTGGGAGGCTGAGTCGTGGTGAGGGAACTCTTTGGTTTGGGTCTGCCTGGCAACTGGAGCGTCATCAGAGAGACGCGCTGGGATTGACTGAGGGGCGTGAGCTCGGTGGCCCCAGCGGGGTGGAGACGCGGGGGGCACTGGGAGAGACTGGGATGGACTGGGATGGACTGGAGTGCACTGGGAGAAACTGGGAGAAACTAGGAGAGACTGGAGTGGACTGGGAAGAACTGGGAGGGGGCCAAAGGGCATGGGGAATGGCAGAGGGAGGGCTGAGGGGTCTGGGGTGATTCCCAGGGACGGTTTGAGGGGCTCCAGGGTCATTCCCAGGGCAGGGCCCGAGGGGACCCACTGTGACCCACACTCACCTCTCCTCTCCACGGTGAACGGAGCATCAGCCTTGTAGTTGTACCGGCAGTACCTGTCCACCGCAGAGCGTTTGTACTCCAGCCATTCCCGTTTACTGTTGAAGTGCCTGGCCAGGGTCTCCCCACGTGGGGTGTCCCCCACATAGACCCCCACATCGCTGTCGAAGTGCAGGAACTGTTCCCGGTTGTAGATGTGCCTCTCGACGAACCTCACCCGCTCGGTGCCGTTGATGAAGTGACACTCGTGGTTTGTCATCAGCTGGAACACCCCTGTGTGTGCAGGACACGGGGCAGGGGGTGCCCCGTACCCCCCCTGCCCCTCAGGCCCTATTCCACTCCAGCAGGGTTGGAGCTCAGGGGGCCACCCCGGACCCCCCTTTCCCACCCCCCTCTGCCCCACGGACGCCCCAGTACCGGCTCTTGGCTGGGGGCGAACCCCCCCATCGGTCCCCCAGGATGGACAAGGTGGTTGGGGACTCCCTCAATGCGGATCCGACCCCCCCAGAGTCCCAGGGAACCGCTCCAGGGCTCAAGGGACACCCAGGGACCCCCAGGGCACCCCTCTGCCTGATCTCCCACACCCCCTTGCCCCCCTCTCCCACCCCTTTCCCACCGGCCCCACAATCTCCAGACCCCCCAACCTCACTTTAGGGCTCCCACCCCCCTCCCACTCACTCTGGGCCTTCCAACCCGCCTCGCACTCACTTTTGGGGCTCCCAACCCCTCTTTTCTCCCCTCTTTACCCCCCTTTCACACCCCACCCCCCTGCCCGCCCCCCCGCTCACCCGACAGCTCCTCGCCCGCAGCCGGGGGGGCTCCCAGCACCACCAGCACCGCCAGCACGGCCCCAGCTCCCCGCACACGCTCCATGCCCAGCGCCGGACAGCTGCTGACAGCCCCAAACCAGCCGGGCGGCGCCGTTTTGGGGGGTTTGGGGCGCGCTGGGCTTGGCTGAGGGCGCAGTTGGGGCCTTTTTCGAGGCGTCTTCCCGGCGACTGATGAGTCATCAGCGCGGCGCGCTGGGATTGGGCGCGGGCGGCGTGGGCGCTTTGGGATTGGCTGAGGGCCGTTGGGGGCCCCCGCGGCAGCCCCGGGGCTGGGGGGTTCGGGGCGGTCCGTGGGGGAGGGGGCAGCTCAGGTGAACCCAAAATTGGGCATCCAGGGAGTGCAGAGAATTGGGAAGCTTTACTGGGAACACCGGGAGCAGTCAGCTGGTGTCAGAACAAAAGCAGGTACAGGGGGATAAACGACCCCCCCAAAATCAGCACGGGGATGGATTGGGGGGTCCAGGCTGGGACGCTCAGCCCTCCAAGGACCCCCCCAAATCCCTTCTCAGCCTTTCCATTTCCCCACAAAGCTGCTCCCATCCCCAAAAGGCTCCCACAAAACTCCCTCCCAGTTGCCCCCAGGACTCACCAAAGCCCCTCTCAGCCCTCCCAGCACCCACCAACCTCCTTCTCAGCCTCTCCATTTCCCGCCAGACCCTTTCCCTTACCCCTCAAACTCCCTCCCAGTTCCCCCCACGGCCCCCAGAGCCCCTCACCCCCCTGCCAGTGTGCCCCCGGTGCTGGGGGGGCCGGGCTGTACCCCAGTCCCGGCTGAGGGGGTGCTCCAGGCTGACGTGCTCCACCCGGCACCGGGGGGGATTTCCAGCATCCCCAGCACCTGGTAGGTCCAGTCCCAGTTGCCTCAAGAGAGCGCGGAGGAAAAGACTCCAGGCCAGGGGAGTGGATGAGATGAGATAAAGAGAGCAGGTCCTTTAGTGGAGCCTCAGGCCAGGGGAACACACACAACGTGCACCCCCCAGGCAGTGGCTCTGTGATTTTATAACAAGGTCCATCCAACCCCAGATCTCTCCACCCCCCAGTTCTGCCCCGTTCTGCCCCTGACACACCCCTTTGGGAACTGGGTTTGGGGTCTTTCTTCCTCAGCTTCATCTTCTTCGCAGCACCCACAGTCCTTGGAGCTCCTCCAAAGTTCTGGGCTTGAAGGTGGCTGTGTCTGTGTGATGTCTTCTGGTCCAGGCTTTTCTACAATTCTACCTTGAAAAGAAGACTAAACACACTAACGGGATTTAGAGGGGTTGATATGGGATGGGGTAACAGGGTTGGGGATGTCCAAACATTATGCTACAGGGTAAGGGATAGAATGCAGCTACATTAAAATCTACAATCACTACACCACTACTTCTAAAATCTACAAAAGATAAAAATTCCAAAAAGCTCTGAGGCATCACACCTCTTTTTTTACAGTTCTATCACAACTTTTTATAAGTCAATCATATTATATTATAGAGCTCCATTTCTATGTTGGTTAGGTACCTTTATATACCTTTTATATACCTTTATATACCTTTTATAAACCTTTTAATGTCTTAATAAAATCCCAGGGATCTTGCTTGGAACTCCCCGCATCCAGGGACTGAGAGGATCTCCCTGAATAACACTTTCAGTGGGCACTGGAATCCTCAGGATCCTGGAACCCCTGGAGCATCAACAGCTTTGTCCCTCCAAAGGAGTCCCAATTTGTTTCCAATGGTTCAAGAATACAAAATAAACCAAATACCAGTTTCTAAACCAAATCAATTTATAAGTCCAGAAATCACAAGTTAATATCCAAAATAGCAGAAAGGATTTCTTCAAGATTCTTTCTTTGCAACTTGAAGTACCCATAATAAAAAATAAACCAAATACCTGTTTCCAAAACCAAATAAACCAAATACCAGTTCCAGAACCAAATAAAACAATGAGTCCAGACTCCCAAATTAATATCCAATTAATTAATTGGGCTTCGTGAATGAAGATTTGGGAAGGGCTCTGCCCACATTTGCTACAAGCACACTGGTGGCTAAAGAGGCCAATAGGAGATAGACATATTCGATTGCAAAAGGCAGAGCAGAAAGACTCCTTGGATGGGATCGACAGGACACGGTTCTTTCTGCGTTGTCTTTTCTCCTCGATGGTGATCCTGCTGTGTTCTCAAAGGAAGCAGCAGCGTTAGAGATGGGGTGTCTCCAGACCTCCCGACTGGAGGCCAGAGTAGACCAGTGATGAAGATCAATGTGGCCAAGGCTGAGATGTTGTTTCAGGCAGTCCTTGTATCTCCTCTTTGGGGCTCCGCTCTTGCGGCAGCCGGTGGCAAGTTCACCCCAGAGCACGATCTTAGGGAGGGGGTGGTTGGTCCTTCATCCTGGAGACGTGCCCTGCCCAGCACAGCTGTGTTCTCAGCAACATGGCCTCAATGCTTGTGACTGCTGCCTGTTCTAGAACAGATGGATTGGTCACATCATCTGACCAGTGGATGTTTAGGATTGTACGGAGGCAGCGTTGATGGAAGCGTTCCAGGAGTCGCAGGTGGTGGCTGTAGATGACCCATGATTCAGACCCATATAAGAGAGTAGACAGCACAATAACTCTGTAAACACTGATCTTTGTGCTTTTCTTCAAGTGTTTATTTCGCCAAACTCTTTTATGGAGTTTTCCAAAAGCTCTCTATGCCTTTGCTAACCTGTTGTCCATCTCCCCATCAATCTCACCATCCGAGGAGATGAGGCTGCCTAGGTAATTAGATTGCTGGACTGATTTGAGCTCTGATTGGCCAATGGTGATATGGGGATGATGGAAGACTTCCTGAGGTGCAGGTTGATGGAGAACTTCTGTTTTCTTTAAGCTGACTTCCAGCCCAAAGAACTCAGCAGCCTCAGGAAAGCAGGATGTTAAACGCTGCAGAGCTGCTTCTGTGTGAGCGACGAGGGCGGCGTCATCAGCATAAAGCAGCTCCTGGACAAGATGGTTTAAGGTCTTGGTGTGGGCCTTCAGTCCCCTTAGGTTGAAAGGGCTTCCATCAGTACGGTATCGGATGTAGATCCCGTCCTGATCAAGACGTCACGTGTGTTACATATTCATGACCCACCGGCAGTGGTTGGTGCTCTCTGTAAATCTCGGGACACGCCCCTGGCCCTGCGCACTTCTCTCTGCTGCTCGTCTCGGTGGTCGTGGGGGTGAAGGCTCAACGTCTTCCTCTCTCGGAGCGTGCGCAGTCGCTCAGCGCCTTCCCCTGGCGACGGCTCCTCATTGGCTGCCCGTCCGTCCGCTTGGTGTCCCATTGGCTGCTCATTGGCTACATTTGCTCCATCGCACCCTCCCATTGGCTGCCCCTTTGCGCCCCCGTGCAGCTTTCCCATTGGCTGCCTCTGGGCAGCTCCCCATTGGCTGCTCACCGGCAACCCGGCTGTTCTCTGAGCAACAGCCCCGCCCCTTCCCATGGCACTGATTGACCTGTGCCGATTGCAGGCACCTTCACACCCTCCCCAGCACCCGCAGCTGAACAGTCTCCCTTATCAACAGCAGGGCAACATTTTCCCAATAGCGACTGGACATTTTCCCTTCTCATCCTGGGGCTGGGAATGGGGTGCAGAGGGGTCCTCGTGTCTGGGAATGGGGGTTCAGGGGGTCCCAGTGCTGGATGAGGTGGGTCAGGGGGATCCTGGTGCCCAGGAATAGGGATTCAGGGGGGTCCTGGTACCAGGAACAGGGGCATGGAGGGTCCCTGTGCCTGCAAATGGATGTTCAGGGGAGTCCCAGTGCCCAGAAATGGGAGTTCAGGGCGGTTCCCGTGCTCAGGAATGGGAGTTCAGGGGGATCCCCTTGCCAGGAATGGGGTTTCAGAGGTCCCTGTGCCCAGGAATGGGGGTTCCACAGGCTGGATAAGGGAGTGTAGGCAGGTCCCTGTACCAGGGAAGGGCTGCAGAGGAGTCCCCTTCCCAGGAATGGGGATTCAGAGGGTCTCCCGTTCCCGGGAATGGAGGTTCTGGGGTTGCCAGTGCCAGATAAAGGGGTTTAGGTGAGTCCCAATGCTGGGGGAGGAGGTGCAAGGGGGTCCCCGTGCCCAGGAACGGGGGTTCAGGGTAGTACCCATTTGAGAATGGGGGCTCAGGGGGGTTCTGGTGCCCAGGGAAGGGTGTTCAGGGG